CGTGGTCCAGCGTTCTGGTTGAGCCAAGTTGAAGGGGGCGATGCCCTCGTGGGAGGTTCCAACAGGAGCAGCAGTGGCCATTCCCGAAGCAGAGGAAGTAGAAGAGGTGGACGCAGGGCTGGCGTTGGTGTTGGTTTCCGACATGAGGCGGAGCGAGTGGAGCTGGCGGAGGCGGAGCGGTGAGGCACGGTGCTCGGTGTTGCGAAGCGAGGAGCTGGGCAGCAAAGAGTGGGGTGGCGAGGCACGGATCTCGGGTTGAAGCGAAGCACAGAGTTGAGGCAGCGTGGCGCAGTGCGATGCGGCCGGCGGTTGACGGAGTGAGGTGCAGACGATGAGCGGAGATCTCCGGCTCGGATCTCGGGTTGAAGCGAAGCACAGAGTTGAGGCAGCGTGGCGCAGTGCGATGCGGCCGGCGGTTGACGGAGCGAGGTGCAGACGATGAGCGGAGATCTCCGGCGAGCGGCGGGGCTGCTGTGGTGATCAATGCTTGGTGCTGCTTGGTCTCCTCCGGGTCTGTTCACGAAGGGCAGTATCCCACCTTCGTCGCCAGTGAAAAGTACTCGGAAACGTTGAGTGATTCAGCAAAGAGTACTTTATTAGATCAGGAACAAGACGAAGAACCCCGGCACGCAGGCCGGTATATATACACAGAAACCCGCCACCAAAACACACCCCTTAGTCACCTATAGGTCATTTACAGTGGCCGAGAGTCCCATTGGCTCTCGGCCGCGGACCTAGCCCTCTGGTTGGTGCGGGCCAGGATCCGCTCTGCTATTGTTCTGTGGGAACGAAGCTTTGGCCCGTGCTTGACCGCATGGCCCAACGGTCGCGCACGTGGTAATGGCGGATACATTACAGTCTCTTACTCTCTCTCAGCTAGAGATGTAGTTAGGAATCTATCTCTTTCTCTTTACTATCAAGTATGTTAGTTCCTAAATAAACCTTTATCTACTCTTTAATCAGATTGTACACTGTTGTTGTGTTAATTACTCTCTGAAGAAGAAAGGGGGGGTGCACCAAGGCAAAACAATTAAGAAGAAACAAAATGGTGCAGAGGGATAAGAATCTTTAATAGTTGTACAGCCCCTACACATTTTGCATACAGCTTCTTTAAGAATTGTACATCCATGCTGTTTAAATGTATGTATGGGAACAGAACTAATAAGAATCTGAAAGTAGATTCCCCCCAACAAAGCTGTATGCAAAACGTGTAGGGGTTGTACAATCATTAAAGAATCTTATCCCTCTGCACCATTTTGTTTCTTCTTCATCCTGTTAATTACTCTGCCAACAATTTATGCCCCATATTTCTCCACAATGAGAACCCAAAGCAGCTTACGTCATTCTCCTCTCCTCCATTTTATCCTCACAACGACTGTGTGAGATGGATTAGGTTGAGAGTCTGTGACTGGCCCAGGGTTACCCAGTGAGCTTCCAGGCAAAGTGAGGATTAGAACTTGGGTCTCCCAGAACCTGATCCAAAACTCTAACCCCTACACCCTTACTGGAGTGACTGCTATTGAAGAGTAGCAAGTTGCTTGGCCAGGGAAAGTTGGGTAAATTGTGTGGTAACAAGTTGCCAAACAGTTGCTGGCTGGCCTTGTTGCCCTGCAAGGCACTCCTTTTGGACTTATGAACTCAGTAATAACTGGACTGTGCAGTAAATGTGCAAAAGGGAATGGACTGTGTGGTGACCCTAAGCTGATGCCAGCTGCAGACATGCGCCCAGCAGAGGAACATCTTCTCCTGAGATGATGGGCCAATGGTTCCTGGGGTTACTTGCCACCTCTTACCAACAGCACAGCAGGAAGAGAACCAAGCGCCCTAGCCACGTGAAGCACAGGAAAGCCAGTAACCATTTGCTGTTAAACAGACACCATGCCAAGCCATAAGACCAGAGATCCATGAGCCAGCATCTTTTCTGACATGCAGGCACCTTCCCCCCACCTTCGCCTAACATTACACGTAGGCGATCCAGCATGACAAAGGATCCACAGCCATGAGAGGATTAGAGGGCTGACATGTACCAGCTAAATCCATCAATTGGAGCCATCAACGGACCATCGATGACAATGACTCTGGCCACCTCAGTCATTGTTCTCAAAGGTGTCACTGTTAAGAATAAATAGAATCCAATATTGTCCAACCATTAAGCCCCCTTCCTCCTGAAACTAGCTTTTGATTAGGAAACTTCCTGGGACTGACCAAGGGGACGTGACAAGGGAAGTGGTCAGCGAAGCCCACCCCCAAGTCCCAATAGTGTATAAAAGACCATGATCCACCATGCTCTCGCTCTCCTCTACCTCCAGACCCACCCTATCTCCATGACTCTTGGTTTTAGTGCTGCTAGAGTCTTTCCATGTGTTCTGCTGGCTCAGAATACGACCCCATTTTTTTCCTTATAGTCTCCCTCATTTTTCTGTGGATCGCTTCATCTTGCCAAGGACAGGTACGTATCGCTCCACAACAATTCTCCTACTAATGCGAACGTTGCTATCCCATTCTATCTGTATTTCCTAGGCCTGAATAACTGTGTGTGTGATTGTGAATTTATTTGTATGCTTGAAATATATTTTCCAGTAAAGAAACCATTTATTTGACACTTGGCTTCTGCGTTTATTTCTAGGTTACCGGAAAAGGCGGGACTTCTATATACATAGGCTTTGCTCCCTTAGATGCCAATTGCACATTAATAATCATAATTCCCCATCTTTATTAATTATCAAAAGAAATTTGGCTAACAGATTGGCCCTGAAGAGTCCTCCCTCAAAGGCCAGATAGCCCTAAAAATGGCCCTGGCCCTCCCCCAAGCCCTTTACTGGCAGAAAACAAGGCTTAAAGGCTGCAGTACTGTTGTGGTTGTAGCAATGGCCACTAAGGGGATTCAGTTCTTAAAGCTACAGGTTAGCCCCCCAATTAAAAAAAAATATTCAGATTCCCCCCCCCCCCCGCAAACCTGAATGTTTCTCAGGTTTGTAGAAAGATATTTTTTTGTCTGTCCATGGCGCCAGTCTCTGGATATCCATTGGTGAGGCCGTATTGAGAATTAGACATACTGATGTTTCTGGGATTACTTGCTCCAGTTACAATAAATACTAAACAGGTTTCCAGTGATTACACAGCCTGGTCTGCCGAGGCCTACAAGTGTTCATCCAAACTTGAGTCTTTGGAGCAATCCTGCGCCTCAGGGCTGAGGAAGTAATCCTCAGCCATTTTACTCTGCCTCTGAGCTTTGGATTGTTTCTCTGCAAACTGCACAGCAGCATGTATGCTATGAAAGAGTAGCTCTGTATCCTCCATCCCAGTGAGCCAACCACCTGCCTGGAGTAAGTGACGGAGAGATGGATTGCAATTGGCCAACAGGACCTGGATTCCAATTTTCTTATAGTCTTGGCGAGTCTCCTTCAGTACACTCAGGCCAACACTATCTAAAAACTGCATGGCACCACAGTCAATAATTAAGGTGTGCATGTCGAAGGATGGCACAGGAACATCTGTTGATGCCTTTTTGGCTATTTTCTTGGTGACCTTTAGGCAGTTAAACTTCGAAGAAAAGCAGCTTTCATTTTTTTGCCCTTTTGGTTTTGCTTCAGCCTTTTGCTGCATGGCAGCAACCAAGGAAGGATTCACTCCTGTTTTCTCAAAGAGTGAACTTTTGAAGTAGTCCTTGTTTGCATAGTAAAGGGAGGTATCAAAGCGGAAGATTTTGATATTGGCAACACTGTTGATCCTCTTGTAATTGAACTGGTCCTCATAGATTTCTGAGTTGCTCACTTTTCCTAAAAGGGTGGCTCGGGGCCTCTGGGTGCGGAAAATTATGCAGAGGAGAGAAAAACAGACCCCTATCAGAAGGCCCAGCTCTGTGGAGATCAACGATGAGGACAGCATGGTGACCCACCAGATCACAGTATCTATCTTGCTAATCTGCCACATCTTGGGAGTGTCAGCAAACTTCCTCAGGCCACCCCTGAGGTTAACAATAGTCACCACCCCCAAGATACAGGTCTGCAGTGAGTAGAAAAGTGGGGCAATCCACAGCAACACCAGAAGCAACACAAATGAAGATATCAGGCTCGAGATCTGAGTATGGCATCCTGTGGATTCTTTCAACAAGGTCTTTGATAAAGCTGCACAGCTAGCAAAGCAGTAGAAGAAAGACGGGATCAGGTTCCCCATGCCAATGGCAATCATCTCTTGGTTGGCTCGCACGGGGTAGCCATGCTTCTTGCCAAATATTTCTGACAGTGAGACAGTCATTGCAAAACCAATGATGGCAATGGGTAGAGCATCAAGTGCCATATTTGACAAAAGGCTCAGATCAGGCACGACAGGTTGCTTGAAACCAGTGGGGATGCTGCCACAGATCTTAGATTTGTATCGCTCTTCGAAATTAAAGAAATACGACAGCAGAGTACCTGCAATGACCACCAAAAGTTCCATGGGAAAGGGGGCTTTCATCTTATCCTTATACAAGCTGTTGATTTCCTTTATTGGCACAATGAGGATGAGAGAGATCAGGCTGGTGACCAGGTCACAGATGTTAGTCTGCCAGATGTATCTGAAGATCTCAATCCATGTTAGGATAAGAGACCCCACGCCATCATGGCGAGGAATTTTTAGACCCAGTAGGAGACTCATTTGGGAAGTAAGGATAGTCAGGGAGGATCCAGTCACAAAGCCACTTAGAAGGGGTTCCGAAAGATATATGGATATGAAGCCTAGTTGGAAAACCCCAAGAAGAACCTGAAAGAAAAAGTATCAATGAATCTGAGACACAACGAACAATGGAATATCAGTACCTGCATTTATTTACTGTTCTATCAGAATGGACCTGACTGCTGTTTTTAAGATAGGGAAGGTTAGTCTGAGCTGTTGCAGTCAGAGCTGTGTCAAAATATACCTTAAAGGAAAACATTACGAAGAGTTACCACTGAAATTAGGGAGAATGGCACAAGCCTTTTCTACTACTTGCTTTCTCAGAATATTTCCGAAGGCTAGATTGGGTAATGCAAATTCTGTCCACACAAGCAGTCTGTCTTCTATCATCCCCAGGGATGTGCTCCTCTGAACTGATTCATCAGTTTTTGAGTCTGGGGCATGCTGTAGCCCCTTGACTCACTGTAGCTGCCTCTGATTTTCAGCTGCATATATGAACTGGCTTTGTGCTTGAAGTGATGAGATGTCATCACAGTTTTGCAGAGCCGGTATGGCAGAGTAGTTAGGGTGTCAGTCTAGGGCTGTGGGGAGACCCTGGTTCAAATCCCTGCTCACCCACAAAATATGCTGAATGACCTTATATCAGTCACTCTGTGATAGTCTAACCTATTTCACAAGGCTGTTGTGAGGAGAACTAAGTATGGCTGTCTGAGTTCTGTGGAGGAAGGGTAGAAAAAATGTAATATATAGACAGTTCTGTCTGGGATGTTTGACCATCCCATTCGCACATGCAATGCATCATTTGATGCTACTATCATCACGTACTGAATATGCATGTGTGAATCAGACCCATCATCTAGATTATAATACAAGATGCCATTCCTTCTCTCTGTGTGTAAAGTGCTGTCAAGTCACAGCAGACTTATGGCAACCCCACAGGGTTTTCAAGGCAAGTGATAAAGCAGAGGTGGCTTGCCACTGCTTTCCTCTGCAAAGTCTTCCTTGGTGGTCTCCCATCCAAGTACCGATACTGCTTGGCTTCTGAGATCTGATGAAATCGAGCTATACTATACCATCCCACTTCCCCATTCCTTCTAGACCCTTTACATATGTAATTCAAATGCACAAATACTGGAACACACAACCAGGCAGTTCAGTTCTATACACTGGCTTTAGCCACAGCAGAGCAAAGAAAGGCTTGTGCTTTCACATCAAAGTTTAAGGCCTGCTTCTCTTATTCAAAACTGAATTACAAGAAAACCCTACCCCTGTCTATTACTAGAGTAGTTACAATCATTTGCCTGGTTGTCACTAAAGTTACTTTTTATACTTCATAATAACTATAGCAATGTTGTCAACAGACTTCAAACATTTACTTGGGGAAGGGCATGCATATCTAACAGTACCTACTTTTATTTAACTGTTACCAAGTCTCATCTAATGTATAAAAATAGTTAGCTGAGTAGAGAGTAGTTCTAAGGAATAGTCAAATTCTCAGAAATGCAGGGAACTGGACTGTCCCCTTTCCTGCCTTCTTGTGCTACTGCAGCTAAAGCGCCATCCCAAGAAAGTCAAACATGGCAGAGTTAATTCATCTTTGCCTCATTTGTCAGTTAAAGCCCAAGCAGCCAAGCTTATGCTTCTAAGAGAAAGTATGTGGCTAAGCCAGTGAAAGGCATCTGAATCAAGTCTTGAAGACCCCTAAATCCCCTGCTCTTGGCTTATGGGGGGGGGGGGAGAAAGCCTCATTACTAAGGATCTGTTCCCTCCACCTCTTATCATTTTAATTTTGTAAATAGAGACCACTTTGGGAACACTTGACTTAAAAAGTGGTAATCGAAATACAACAATAAACATGAGAATATTAACATGGACAAGAACACAGAGAGCATTGTTACAAATAACAAAACACCATACCTGGTAAAGGCCAACCAGAAAAGTTAAAGAGGTTGCCACAGTGATAGCATAACAGCTTTTGTCACAGGCGACTGTTCCATTCAGTGTGGTATTTACCAGTGAGGAAGCATCAACACCAGATTCAAATCCTGCCAACTTGAGTTGCCGGTTTACCGATTCCCCAATCATCAAGCAAAGGACCCCGAAAGAGCCAACACAATTATGATGTGAGGTAGCCATGAAAAAGTAGACAATGGCACAGAAGAAGTTGGTGTAGAGCCCATAAATAGGATCCTGGCTTGCTAGGATGGAATAGGAGATTGACTGTGGGATGGCAACTATCCCAACCAGTAAGCCAGAGATGATGTCCCCAAGCAGCTGCTCCTTGACACTGTAACAAGGAAGCCACTCAAATACAGGGAACAGCCTGAAGAACAAAGTGACGATGCTTCGGCGGTCACACTGGGAGGTCTCCTTGGCTTTTTTGAGGAGGTTCTTGGTACTGAAGACTGGAGGTTCATACTCTTCTAGCTTGATGGGTATATAATGAGAACTTGACTCTGGCAAATGGGAACTTAGCATATCACCGTTGTGCTCAGTAGTACCACTCTCCATTGCTCCAACACTGCTAAAACATATATTAATAATTGTAGGATCAATCAATTTGTATACAGTTTATAATGCATCAAGTGAAGATTGCAAGTCCTACATCTCATGAACAGCCATTCAGGTTCAGCACTGCAGCAGGGATGCATATTAAAAGAGACACAAAAATCCTCCTTAATGGATGAGCCATTCATTATGAATAAAACTAAGATATGTTTTACCCCTAAGGTTTGTGAAGTGTTTTACAGTAGTACTAATCAGAAATGTACATCATAGTAGGACTTTAGACCTGTATAGTTTAAGCTATTATAGGAAAACAAGTGGAGACTCGCAAGAAACATGCGGGATGGTTATCTCATTCGGCACACCTTTGCCTCCTCTCCTCACCCCCTACCTCTGTCACACTATTTCTCCTCCATGCATGTGACTTCCTCTCTCTTTCTGACCTGTCATCTTTCTCTTTGTTTTTCTGCCTCCCCACTTCATCACTCTTCCTCTCTCTTTCTGCCCACACCCCATCATTCTTTCTTTCTGCCCCCATCACTCTTCCAGCCTCCTGCCTGCTTCCTCCCCCACTCCGCAGAGCAGCAGCAGCAGTGGTGGCGGTGCACCTAGCCACCCACCTGCTTCCTCTCCCCCACAGCAGCAGTGGCAGCGGTCTGGGAATCACAACGGATCTCCCAGCTACAGAGATCAATTCACCTTAGGGCTGCCAGCTCCAGGCTGGGAAATTCCTGGAGATTTGTGGGTGGAGCCTTGGGAGAGTGAGGCTTGGGGTGGCAAGCAGCCTCAGCAGGGTATGATGCCATAGACTCAACCCTCCAAAACAGCCATTTTATCCCGGGGAACTGATCTCTGTCGCCTGGACAACAGTTGTAATTCTGGTTGATCTCCAGTCCTCACCTGGAGGCTGGCAATGGTGGTTCTCATGGAGAAAATGGCTGGAGGGTGGAGTCTATGATATTACACCAGTCCAAAGCAATGTTCCCTCTAAGCTGTGGGCTCTTGTGAGCAAAAATTCTACTTTGTGAGCTACTGGCATTAAAGTTGCGAGCAAGCGATTTGGCTGCTGCATCAGTTAGTTTGCTCTGGAGCCCATCCCTCCTGAGCTAAGACCAAAATGTGTGAGCCGGAAGCTAAAAAACTGTGGGCTAGCTCACACTAACTCAGCTTAGAGGGAACACTGGTCCAAAGTTCCTCCCCTCCTCAAATCCCACCCTCTCCAGGCTCCACTCCTCTAATGTCCAGGAATTTCCCAACCTGGAGTTGGCAACCCTATTTCCTTCCCACCCAACAGCCAACCTACCTTTATCTGCCTCTCTGTCTTCTGCTTTCCATCTCCACCCCCCAGCCTCTACCTAGGAAAACTACAGTCTTTCTCCACAGTGGGGACCAAAGCAGTTTTCATTATTCCCTCCTCCTTTTTATCTGTACAACAACTCTGTGAGGTTGGTTAGGCTGATATATGTGACTGGCCCAAAATCATGCAGTCAGCTTCCACTGCAAGATGGGGATCTGAACCTGGGTCTTGCAGATCCTACTTTGAAGCTCTAACTGCTGCACCTCACTGGCTTTCATAGGGTGGCTGCTGATGAACGGTAGCAAGCAGCCAAGGCTAGGTGAGTCATGCAAATCAGGGGGGACCTGGCAACCCTAGATTACTGCC